CCAATATTCTCATCACAATCATCTCCATAGTTCAATCAGAAAATCCAATGGCAACACCATTTGGGTCTCACCCCCAGCCACCCTCCGCTTCTTGCCTATAACGTAATTTTCCCAAGTACCTGCCCTGAGAAAATCCCTCCCAGAGTCCTAGGGAAGATGCTACATACACCACATTCTTTTGTCTGTTTACTTTATTCCTTTATGACAAAACTCTGTCTATACAGCTTCAGTTCCGTCCTGAGTCTCAGTTCCTCTTTGTACCTACTATTTCTGTCCCCTCACAGCCCTGGTAATAACTAAGCCCTTATGCTTTGGATCTAATCTTCATCCTCTGTTCCTTCATCCTCCATCTATTTTTCCTGGCTCCTTACTCCTGGCCCTGATAAACTCTACCAGAGATCTGCCTTACCCTCTACAGAATCTCTGTCTTCCTCTCTTTGCTCTGGCCACATGGTTCTATGTCTTCAGCAGTTTTTTTAATTTAAAATTTTTATTATTTCAAAAGTTGCAAATAAAACATAACAGACACATCAAAAATTAACCAAATCCATAGTCTATACAACTCAGTGAACTTCTCTATACAGTTAGACTAAGCATTAAGAACAGAATCAGTGGGGCCTCACAGAGATTTTGCACTTGAAAAAAAACACCCCCCCACAAATCAGAGTATAACAAAACAACCAAATGAGAAAGAAAGCCAAAGTAAAAACAAAGGAAATGCATATAAACACAGGAAAACACACATTGGTACACACAGGAATCCAATAGAAACCCGAAACTGGGTTTTATATACATAAAAGACCTGTTGTTTAAAAACAACAACAACAATGATAAAACTCTGATAACATTATTATGAGACAAAAGGAACCTTCAAAGATACCGTAGAGTTTATTTTCTGTTGGCTATCTAAAGCTGGGCAAGGGGTCTACTCTTAAGAGTAGTTTGTTTCCCTAGGTTTTGCTTCTCTATTAAAGAAAACTATTTTTCATTTGCAAGTGGCTCTCAATTGGAGATAGCTTCTAGGTTATGGATGGGGACATGTGTCCACTTATCTCAGCTCTTGGACCCAATCTGGGGCAGACCTATACAAGCCCCATGCATGTTGCCTCAGTCTCTGTGAGTTCATATGTGTGTAGAACCTATTGTTTAAGAGGCCTTGTTTCTTTGGTGTCCTCCCTCCCTTCTGGCTCTTACACTCTTTCTGCGTCCTCTTCCACAGAGTACCCTGAGCCCTGAGGGTGGATTTGATGGAGACATCCCATTTAAGGCAGAGTATTCCAAGATATTTCTCTCTTTCTGTATTGTCTGGTTGTGGGTCTCTGTATTTGTTTTCTTCTGCTACAGGAGGAAGCACCTCGGGTGATGGCGGAGAAAGGTACAGACCTATGAATTTAGCAGAATGTCATTAGAGTAGTTTTATTGGTAAGTTCCTTTAGCACAGAGGTTCTCAACCTGTGGTGTTGTAACACCTTTGGGAGTTGGACGACCCTTTCACAGCAGTTGCATATCAGATGTTTACATTACAGTTCATAACGTTAGCAAAGTAACAGCTATGAAGTAACAATGAAAATAATTTTATGGTTGGGGAGGTCACCACAAAATGAGGAACTGTATTAAAGGGTTGCAGAATTAGGAAGGTCAAGAACCAGTACTTTAGCAGAATGGTAGTATTTGGTTTTCCCCTAGGTCCATGGCCTATCTGATCCACCCAAGCAGCATTGAATATGGTTCCATATCATGGAGTGGGCCTTAAATCTAATCAAATATTGGTTGGTTACTCCCACAAGCTTTCTGTCACTATTGCAGCAGTGTGTCTTGTAGGCAGACCACACTGTAGATCAAAGGGTTTGTGACTGGGTGAGTGTTTACCTTTCTCCTTTGGTAGCATGCAGAGTACCTTCTAGTAACATGCGTACTACTCCGTAGGGGTGATGCCTCTCGGTAGGCACTAGCTCTATTTCTCCGTGATCAATGAGTTATGTAGGTGTTGTTTTCAGCAATAGGGCCTTATCTTCAGTTTGTGGAGAACCACCAAAAGCCTTGGCAAAAGGCTGGGTTGTTTGGGGGTTCCCATGTGTCTTAGTTAGGGTTTCTATTGCTGTAATGGGACCCATTACCATGGCAGCTCAATAAGGAAAACATTTAATAGGGACTGGCTTACAGTTTCAAGGTTTAGTCCATTAACATCATGGTGGGAAGCATGGCAGTGTGCAGGCAGACATGGTGCTGGACGAGCTGAGAGTTCTGCATTTGGATTGGCAGGCAACAAGAAGAAACAGTGACACTGGGCCTGGCTTGAGCAACTGAAATCTGAAAGCGCATTGCCATGACACACTTCCTTCAAGGCCACACCTACTCCAACAAGGCCACACCTCCTAATAGTGCCACACTCTATGAGCCTATGAGAACCATTTTCATTCAAACCATTACACTATGGGACCCCTTTGTGTAACAACTCAATTAGATGTAGCCCATTAACAGCATTGGAAACTTCATTTGTTGATGAGAGATGTATAACTGGGGTTCTGTCTCCCCCATTATTTGGCAATTTCATTTAGCTTGTCTTCATATATGTATATACTATAGAAAGTATCTATTGTATTATGATTCCATATGACCCCTCAAATGAACCTTAGTTTTATCTGTCTCTCCCAGTATTCCCTCTCATGCCAACTCTTCCCTCCCACTCCTTGTTTGGTCCTCACATTCCATAACTATTCTGTTTTCCATTCCTAGGGAGATCCTCCCTGCTCCCTAGTCTTGTACACTTTTTAAAAGGTTATTGGCCTTTGTGTTTCTTTCTTTCATCTTCTTTCTCTACCTTCTTTTTGGAAACTATCTATTCATTTCAGTTACCCATTTGCTGACTGGCAGTTTTATTCCCTTGATTTAATTTCTCTCATTTTTGGGTCTTAGCTTTAATTTTTAAGATATGTGCGCATCACTTGGAATACCCAGAAATCAGGAAATTAGTAAAGGGTCATGGGAGAGGGAATTCATGGAAGGAAAATTGGAATGAGGTGTCAAGAGTTAAAGGAGAATAATGGTACAGAAAGGGTTAAATGGGGAGGAGGATGGAAGGGCAGGGTAGAGGAGGGAATGTGGAAAGGGATAAAAAGTAATGCTATAATTGTATTATTTTTCACTGCATTTATTGTGTATTCCTCTGTTTTGCTCTCTTTCTGTGTGTGTGTGTGTGTGTGTGTGTGTGTGTGTGTGTGTGTGTGTGTCCTGCAATGGTCAGCATGTGGAGGTCAGAGAAGAACTTGTATAAATTCAGGTTTTCCTTCTACCATGAGGGTCCCAGGATCTGAACTCTGGTCTTCAGGCTTAGAGACAAATAACTTTACTCACTGGCCCCTTAATTCTATGATTTTAAACTTGAGGAGAGATAATAAGATACAATGTGTGAGTGCCTTGACCACTAAGTCTCACCACTGAGTTCAACCTTCATAACCAACGTGGTGGAAGGAGAGTACTGACTCCTGCAGGTCAACCTTGAACCTCCACATACGTGTCATGGCATGTCAACACAGAAACACGGACAAAACAAATAAAAGTAAGTATCTTATAATTCAAAGTAATTTAGACAACTATACAGAACTAATGAATTAAACTTTTAATGATACACAAGAATGACAGAGTATCTGATATAATACAATAAGATACATGTAGATTACAAAAGACATCTAACGCATATGATGGAAAGACCAAGATATAGGGTTCAAGACAAGGTCAGTAGTAGAATGCTTACTCTCATGCTCCAGAGCTGGGATTCAATGAACAGCACTGAAAAACAAGGTTATAATGATTTTTAATATTTGTAAGTTTATAAATGTTCATATGTAAACACATGTAAATATGCATCATAACTTATTAATGATTTTAAAACTTTGGAATTATGCCTGAATATATAAACAAGCCATGTCTTTGCAGGGTGGGATGGGATTACTAGCCATGTTTCCTTGGACAGCATGTCTGTATTTTCTAAGGTTTGTCTGCAATGTGCTAGAAAATATATAAAAATAAAGATACAAACAACATTAACTTCAAATGTCTGTAATTTCCTAGGAATAAAGCTAAACGGAGCCTTCTCTCCATGTGTGCACAAAATAGAATTGGATGCTGTGGCACTGAAATGACTTCAGCCCATGTGATGGCTAATCTTAACTATGAACTTGATTGTGTCAAGGATGTCTAAGAGATTCCTCAAACACTGCTCTGGGTGTGTCTGTCACATTTCTAGACACGGATATGAAGTCTTTGACCTAATTAAACTGCTTAAGTCATTAATACATTCAAATTTTGGATAGATGATTAAGAGAGTTACAGGCTGAATTGTAGAAAGCAAGGAACGTGGCCTTGGAGGGTGTATCCTGTCCTGGTCCCTTCCTACATGCTCAGCTATGTGTCCTACATGCCATGATGTGAACAGCTCTGGTCCACTACGTCCTTCCCACCATGATGAAAACCTCTAAAATCATAAACTAAACTATATCATTGCTCCATTGTACTGTTTTTCCCAGGTCATAGCAGTGAGAAATCGGATAGCAAATGTCTCCCATTCAATCAATAAGAATGAAGTGAGATACTGAACTAATGTTTGCTAGAACCTTGGCAGAAGAGGTGCCACGAATCTGAAGGTTCTTAAAGGGGCTGTGAGGTCTGCCATATTTACTAGTGTAAAACCAGTGTTGATAAAAGTAAAAGTGAGAGGAACAGGGAAAGTGTGGCAAATGTCAGCTAGTGGTGGAAGGATGGAGGAAGAGGAAGAAGGAAGCAGGAATCTGACAGGCAGAAGCTCTCAGAATATGGGGAAGCAGAGAGCATTGCTCTACTCCCAACTAACTGTTAAAACATCAACAGCGGATGCTGATTCCAGGCAGGTGTCAGGGCTTGGCAGTGCAGGGAATAGAAGGTTCAGTGTCGTGAGCCTTGAGAGCACAGGGGAGGAATAAGGACTCACCTGCAGCAGGACTGAGCAAGGAAGGGCCCAGCCTCTAAAACTCATTACACAGCGATTGGTCATGGCAACATGTAAAATCCAGTGTTATATTATAATGGGTGAAAGTCTTATTGAAACATCCAGAAGAACAATCCTGCTGCCCAAACCAGATATCATAACCTGTACAAGAAAAATAACAAGGGTCAAACCTAAGTATTTGTAAAATCAGAGTCTCAGAAAAAGGTGACTTAGACTCCCTGGTGAAATGTATGCCAGCCGTACTCAGGTGACTGTAGTTATCATCTATCAACCTGTAATCTGGCCTGCAGGCAAGCCTCCCATTCCCCAAATTACTGACTGGAGTTTTAAAGTTCAAATTTTCTCATTCCTGAATATGTTTTCCAGAAAGCTATAAAGAGCATGCAGAGACACCCCCCCAACCCCCGCTCAAAAAAAATGTCTTCCTCTGGCAAAGAGTGTAGGCAACCAGTACCAAATGGAAAGGAGACTTCTCCTGAATTTACACAGAAACACACCTCCCTAGTCTCTGCTTTGTCCCCAGGAGTGTAAAGAGGGATGGTTCCTTCCTGAGCAGCAAACAGAGTGACCCCGATATCTCCCAGGCTTGACGCACCTTTAGACACTACCAGTATGCCACATTCCTGGTCGTCTTTAGCCTCACAGGTGCTTTCTCCTTTCACACACACTCCATCAGCATTTAACCAGTCACACTGTAAACATGTCAGAGCTGAAAAGGCAAAATCAAGGATAAGAGGTTCAACCGGAGCACCACCTCAGGGATCAGACAGGAGCTGAGCCTGTGGCTATAATCAATAAGTAAGAAACAATGACCACGGAAAGAGCTGGGTGTATGCTGAGCTGACCTCTAAAGGGTAGCCCATGACCTTGGACACTAGGAAGGGATTTGAAAAGAGCCAAGTTTCTCCAGTTCAAATACCGTGAATGAACTGGGCTGTGAGGAGGAAGCTCAGAGCTCTGATGTGGGGAGCTTGAGCCTGCCGCCTATGAGCAGACAAGTGCTCCCATCACTTCATTACCTTCATCCTGCCAAGGACCTTCCTTGCATCATTTCCAATACAAATTTAGGTCTATGCACAGGTGAGCTGGAGGAATTGAGAATGCTTTCTTGTTAAGAATGAGGAGGTGAACTGAAGGAGCAGAAGTAAGGACACCCGAAGCAGAGGCATGACAAAGAGGATTTGGAGATGCCTGTACTGTATACAACAGAGGGAAGAGAAGAAAGGAGAGGTGAGGATATGGAGATGAAGGCTGTGGGGTCCACGAACAAAAGTAGTCAGGTTTTATATCTTATTCCTGACCTCCCAAACCCAACACCCTTTGACAGTACGTCTGCCCACCCGCACCGGCCCCTTCCATCTGCTAGTATCTCACCGTGGAGGAAGCCCAGCACCAGGGAGAGACCCAGCAGGAGCAGCAGGAAGTGCTTCCCCATGGCAATGGGATCACAGGTTAAGAGAGCAGCAGAGAGCAGGACAGAGCATTCAAGGCCTAGCCTCAGCAATGCATGCTTATATATGAGCTCAGGCTAGAAAGGCAGCCAATGGGATCCCAAGCCAGTGTGCTGAGCAGATGGCCCGGGGGAAGAACAGAGCCTATGTGCTTCACTCTGCTTGCTCCCTTCTCCATCCCTACCCAGTGGGTCAAGTACTTCTGGATTCCTGTCCACATGTTTAGTTCACTAACTTTCAAATGGGGATTAATAGCTGTGAGATTCGAAGGAATTTTGAGACTGGGTGGCTGAGGAGTCTAGAGGGTGCTACACACACTAGGCTATCACTCTCCACGTAGAAGAAAACTGTTACCTTCTACCACTACATCCAGATGTTAAATCCTCTGACTATTTGTGAATGGGATACATGTCTAGGTATATGTTTGAATCACTGAAACCCAAACTGCAGATTCGGATTCCTCTTCTGTGTAGACTACAGTCATCTTCCTGGGGACCAGATAGAAAGACAAGACAAACTACAGGGTCATGGAAGGAAAGTGTGATGGGAAAACAGGCCTTTCATTCTGGGTCTGCTTTCCCTGTCCCACTGATGGAGCCAGGAAACTTGAAGTCCCACTGATGAAGCCAAAATGACACAGAGACATGTGTGCTTCCTAAAAACCTCCCAGACAGGTAAAAGACACGAGCAATCTGTGCTTACTTAGCACCAAACGGATGTGTAACTTTGTTGGGAGGCTTGCTGGTTAGATGTCGAAGTGTATCATGATGTGACAGCTTTTTCCAGAGCTCAAGAGCATGGGGACTCCCCCTCCCCCTCAGCCAGACTTCCTGCTCTCTTCCTGACCTTATCTGGAGAATGTCCCTGGACACGGAGGACTGACCTGATCTGAATGTTATCTTTAAGACCGGATGCCAGGTTTATCTCTACGGTGACCCTTGACAGTTTCCTGCTAGAAGGCTTTACCCTGCTGCACATACGGTAACTAAGACTTACGCTAGGAGCTCTGCTATAGGACCCTGCTGTCACATGTGAAGCCTTATGATAGGAGTGTGCCACTTAATGCAAATCAGAGTTTGTCCCCAGGCTGCCCAATCTGATATATTTCCTATATATATATTTATTCTGGAATAAAGCTGAACTGATTCACCAGTCTTCTCTCAGAGGGCTGTCTCCATCACACCCACAGCAGTCTGAATCCTGTTCCCATGTCTACTCCCTGCACCCTCATGGACCAATGCAGCCACGATCCTGAGGAAGATGCAGAAACCTCAATAACTTTGAGTTTCCTTCCTCCTCCTCTCTCTCCTAAATTGGAGCAGTGCTGCACATATAAAAATACCTCGAGCTGCCAGAACACTTTATACCCCCATGGTAGACAGTGAAGACGGTGCCTCAACTGCCTGATGGAAGCACTCCTTCCAACCTAGACATCCTTTCTACAGACTCAGGGTGCACAGGTGTCCTCCCCAGTGAGACTTGGTAGTCAAGGCCACTACTTCAGGAGAAGTAGAAGAAAATCTCCCAAATGTCAGATCATATCAAACTATTCAAGGAGTTCAATCTAAGTTTGATATAGACCTTGTGATAGCTATTTTTGGTTGTTGATACCTGGAATTAACTAAATACCAAGTGCCTGGGTACACCTATGAGGGATTCTTCTTAATTAAATCATTTGAAGTGGGAAAGCCTGATTTTAATCCTGATCTTTTGAGGTGGGAAGATCCATCTTCAATCTAGGCCATACCTTCAGGGGCAGTCTATGTAAAGGAAATAAAAGAAGGAAGCCTTTGCTCTTGGCCTGCTTGCCTACTTCTTTGGGATTCCGGAATATACTGAAGATCAGATGAAATATCAAATACCATGGACTGAACAGCTACTGGATTCTTAGACGTTCTGTTAGTAGGCAGCCATTGTTGGACTAGCCTGATGCATCCTGTAAGCCTCTCTGATAAGTCCCCATGCTATAAGTTCTGTTCCATTAGAGAACCCTGACTAGTATAGACCTCCTGGGTGGCTCCATCCCTAGGAAGCTTTTTCAATTAGTGTGAGTTCACTCAGCTCCCACAGTCCCTTTGTTCTTGTTTTTCATTATGTTGTCTGTCTTCAGCTTCTGTTTGCTAAATCTTCTGGCTTTCCACACCCCATGATACACACTCTCTTCCTTTGCAAAATGCAGCTCAAGGCTTTTAGGCTTACAACCCTGTGACACTATGACAGATCAGTGCTAATCAGAGCCCTCAGGTGTACCTTCTCAGCTGGAATACATATTAGAAAAAAAATGAGGCCTTCATCCCATCCCTGTTCTCACAGCGGGAAAAAGTAGAGACAGAAGGATTAGAAATAAAAGGCAAAATGACCACCAACAATCAGGCTCAGACAGACTGCTTAGAGCCTGACATGGTGACTTGTGATTCATTCTCTGAAAATTTGGAATCTAATTCCTAATGCCCACAGATGCCTCTCCCTAAATAAGCAGAGTCAGGAAATAACATGTAATATTACAAAATGTATTACATAAGAAAGCAGTGAGATACTAACTTGTTATTTATTCAAATACCATGCCACAGAACGGGCAATTGAGATGAGACCAAGTGACCAACTCTCTCTCTCTCTCTCTCTCTCTCTCTCTCTCTCTCTCTCATTCTTTAATAATCTGATTTTTCCACAGTGTATGTCTTTTCTTACAGTTTCTTTAATTTCCTGTCTGGTAAAGACTTTACCACTGAACTTTGTCTCATTGTTTCCAGTACAATGGCAGACACAGTATAGAACTAAGGACATATCTTCTATTTTGCTACCCACAGATTCTCTGAACGCAGTCCCTCCTCTAAAAAGGCATTGGCTAACAAGCTGCCCGGGAGACTGAAGTTTCTATGTTCTCTTCCAGATCAAACTCATCCACTGAAGGTTTGTGGTATTCTTCTTTCCCTATATAGCCACACAGTGGTTTTATTATCCTTCCACTTTTGAAATGGGTGTTATGAAAGCAACTAGTCTAAATTCCTCAATTATAGGGGGCATCTCCCCAGATTGGTAACCAGAATCATTCTCTGGATGTGTCCCCTTGTACAGAGATGTGGCCAGAGAGAAGGTCACAGATCCCACTGGGATGGTGAAACATTGGTACCACTGCATCCTGTTACCTGAGCTCTTCATAGCAAGACATCTAGAAGTCCCGGTGTACTAGATACAACATCAGCTGCTGCTCAAGTCATGCCTGTCTGTAGCTCTGTCTCTCTGCACCCTGATAGGAGATTCTGCATGAGAACCCCAGACTGACAGACTTATTCCTTCCCCTACAGGCATCAGAGACTGCCTGACTACAGCAGGTACTATTCATTACTCATCACTCACTAGGCACAGAACCTCCCTGCATCTTCTGAAACTTACAAACAGGTCCTTGCTCTCTGTCATGTATGCCCGAACATTCCTCAGAGTCCTTGCTATCCTACTGCCTATCTGTCCATCTATAGCATCAAGCATTCTCCCAAAATATCTCTTGCCCGACAGTACAATCTGCCACTGTCTTGATACCTTCCACTGCTGATGGATCTAGGAAATTTTTAGACAGTTTGTTTATAGAAGATATGACTAAAAAGCTTAATGCTTTAAAAAAATCCATAACTATTCAATATAGTACCTGAAGTTCTAGCTAGAGCAATAATACAACTAATGGAAATCAAGGTGGTACAAATTGGAAAGAAAGAAGTCAAAGTACTATTATTTACAGATGATATGATAATATACATAAGTGATCCCAAAAACTACCAGGGAACTCCTACAGCTGATAAACACCTTTAGTCAAGTGGCTGGATACAAGACTAACATACACACATACACACACACACACACACACACACACACACACACACACACACACACACACACAAGTCAGTAGCCCTTCTATATACAAATGATAAATGGACTGAGAAAGAAATCAGTGAATCTACATCCTTTACAATAGCCTGAAATGATATAAAGTATCTTGGTGTAATTCTAACCAAGCAAATGAAAGACCTGTATGACAAGAACTTCTAGTCTTTGAAGAAAGAATTTGAAGAAGCTCTCAGAAGATGGAAAGATCTCCCATGCTCATGGATCAGTAGGATTAACATAGTAAAAATGGTCATCTTACCAAAAGCAATCTACAGATTCAATGCAATCCCCATTAAAATCCAACACAATTCATTACAGACCTTGAAAGAGTAATACTCAACTTCATATGGAAAAATAAAAATTTAGGGTAGTGAAAACAATCCTGTATGATAAAAAACTTCTGGTAGTATCACCCTCCCTGATTTTAAGCTCTACTACAGATCTATAGTAATACAAACCACATGGTATTGGCAAAAAAAACCAGACACATGGATCAATGGAATTGAACTGAAGACCCAGATGTAAAGCCACACACCTACAGACACATGATTTTTGACCAAGAAGCCAAAATTATACCACAGAAAAGGAAAGTATCTTCAGCAAATGGTGCTGGTCTAACTGTATATAGTTTGTAACAGAATGCAAATTGATCTATGTTTATCACCCTGCACAAAACTGAAGCCCAAGTGGATCGAAGACCTCAATATAAATCCAGACATACTGAACCCCATAGAAGAAAAATTGGGAAATAATCTTGAATGCACTGGCACAGGAGCCAACTTCCTGAACAGAACACCAACAGCATAGGTACTAAGATCAACACTTAATAAATGAGATCTCATGAAACTGAAAAGCTTCCATAAGGCAAAGGACACCATCAATAGGACACAACAGCAGCCTATAGAATGGGAAAAGATCTTCATCAACTATCACATCTGACAGAGGGCTGGTTTCCAAAATATATAAAGAACTGAACAAGCTTGCTATCAACAAACCAAATAATCCCATTAAAAAATGAAGGGCAGATCTAAACAGGGAATTCTCAACAGAAGAATCTCAAATGGCTTAGAAACACCTAAGGAGATGTTCAACATCCGTAGCCATC